GATCCACTGGTGAGACACGCCCATGAAGATACAGTAAGGATGTTTCTGATTTATCCCACACAACACAGAGATAGAAACCAAAATATGAACAAAAAAGTTAGGAACACTGAGCTGTAAGCAAAACTCCAGGCACTACCTTCCCCCTTTCCACTACCAGAAGAAATACCAATTGTGAAGCTCAAGGATAATTATTCATCCTAGGAGCTAGAGGCCTGATCACTCTCCTGGGACGCCCTCCTTTGGAAGTCTCCCTTTTTCCCACTGGTCTCCCGGTAGGTCACTCCTTTTAGTGCTATAGCATTCGGTGCATATTCCCCTTTTAGTGTTAAGGCTCTTAAGCCACTACTTTGGGAAGGTGAAGGAAAAGGAAGGATTTGGACTCTGAAAAGGGGGTGATTAGACATAACACATTTCCTTGTTTACTGAACTGCCTAGTAAATTGAGTTGTACGAACAGAAATAACTCGAAACCCTTCTTTGAACTTCTTTCCCGGACCGTCAGTGTCATGGAAACATGTAATGGGAATTCACATCTATCACAGCCTCCTAGGTGGCAAGCGCTTTACCTCACCGATAACCCGGAGGCGGATACGATCCCTATCCCACTTACAGAGGAGGAAACCAGGGGTCGGAAAGGCTATCTCATCCAAGGAACCGTGCTCATAAGGTGGGACTCCGGTGAAGTTCCCCAGTCTCCTGTGAGCCAGGAGCACCCTGGGCCCGAGCCGCCGTCCCCCGCGCCGCGCACGGCCAGAACCCCGGCCTTCACCCACGCGGGACACACTGACCTGAGGGCGGAGGGCCGGGAGGGACTGGGCCAGGCAGAAAGACAGACGCGCCGGCCTGCCGTCCGAAGGGAACCGGTGAGCGCAGAGAGCTCCTAGAAACTTTTTGGATAGCCACGCTCTGGCCGTTTCCGCCCGCCAAGGGAATCAAACCTCGCGCGCCGGAAGGGGCGGGGACGCAGCGGAGTCTGGGCGGTCGCAGCGAGGCGGGGCGCTGTCGCCCTAGGACAGCGAGCGGGCCCAGGGGGTGGGATGGTTAAGAGGCTTCTGGAGCTTGCTGAGAGGTGAGTTAAGGCCTTGGTCTTCGACCTGGAGTGCCCCTCCCCGGAGGGCACGTGAAGATTTTCGTGGTGTCGTGAGCATACAAAGTTTTTACATAATTCAACTTTAAGTTCTCTTTCCTAAAATTGATTTGCAGAGAAGTCGCTAGTAGTCACAGTCTCATTTTCGTCCTCCCCTTGCCCAGTGGCCCTTCTCCCATCCAACAAAAGACAAGTATACCTCTCCCCTGTAAAAATCTTACTAAAATATGTTGCCACGAGGAATAAAACCCCCAGGGGACAAATTGTCCATTAGATAGCTCAAGGTACCAGAAACACCTACCTAGCATCACAGGAGAAGTCCTTCTAATACGTTTTACTGTTTGGTCATTACTTATGTGACTTTCATGGGCTGCATGAATTACTACAATTGTAATGAAAATCCAGAAGGTAAAAAAAATTATAGCAAGAGGAAAGAAAAATATTAAGTATAAATTTATATATGTATTTTTTAAAGAGACTTTTTCTTAAAGAACGGTTTAGATTCACAGCAAATCGGAGGGGTACAGAGATTCCTCCTAAACCCTCTGTCCCAACCACATGCATAGCCTCCCCCATTATCAATATCCCCCACCAGAGTGGTACATCTGTTACAATTTATGAACCTATATTATCACCCAAAGACCACAATTTACATGAGGGTTCCCTCTTGGTGTTGTACATTTTATGGGTTTAGACAAATGTATAATGACATGTCTCCACCATTATAGTATCATACAGAGTAGTTTCACTGCCCTAAATTTTTCTGCTCTGCCTACCTGTGAAGTGGAATAGTGTTATATGTGTATTTTTATTGCAATGAAGTGTGCTATTGCACTGGATAAAAGCTTTTCAAGCAAAAAAAAAAAAATTAAACTAAGATAACATTCTGTGGAACCAAAATATGAGTTAGGAGAAAAAAGAGGGAAAACAAGCAAGTTAAAAAGTAAATTGTTTATTTTGTTTGTGTAATTTTTATCGGATAATAGTGGGTATCAAATCATTCTGGTATTTCCAATCCATTGCATATCTTTTAAGGACTTACAGCTTTACTTTCAGAGGTTTACAATAACCAGTTGTTTTAAAAATATTTACAATTTATCCAAAAATTAAAACCTTTGTGACTATTTAAAATTATAACAAGAGAATGCATGGTGGGAAGCCATTCAGTGTTTATAGCCTGGCCTCCAGCATTATGAGAATACAGCTGAAACGGAAAGGGCTGGATTTTGAAGATGACACCGCTGTAAAAAGCTTGGAGGCAGTGCGAAGGAAGCTTTGTGCAACTCTTGGCAGGAATAAGGGTTAGCAAGGCCTCCGTGGTTCACTGCTGCTAAGAAGGCGCAGCAGTCCTGGTCGCCCTGCCATGAGGCAGAACAGCAGTCCCCAACCTTTTTAGCACCAGAGACCGGTTTCGTGGAAGACAATTTGAACATGGGGCGAGAGGAGGGGTAATGCAAGTGATGGTTCAGGCGGTAATGCGAGTGATGCGGAGTGGCAGATGAAGCTTCGCTCTCACTAGCTGGCCACTCACCTCCTGCTGTGTGGCCGGTACTGGTCTGCGCCCTGGGGGTTGAGGACCCCTGAGCTAGAATAGACGTCTCTATGGTCAAGTAGACACAGAGCCATTCCTCTCTTCCCCACCCGGTGGGGCTGCACATGAGCAGTAGCCACAGTATGGGAAAGATGGAGGAAGAGCAAAGAAGGAAGATCCCTTTGGTTCCAGAAAACCTCCTGAAAAAGAGGAAGGCTTATCAGGCCCTCAAAGCCACCCAGGCAAAGCAGGCGCTTTTGCACAAGGAGGAACAGAGGAATGGAAAAGGGCTCAAGTTTAAGCAACTAGAATGGTTTCTACATGATTCCTGGCAGCAGCTATGTGACAGGGTGCACCTCAGACGACTAGAAGTGAAACCTCATGGCTTGAAAGTGCCAGATAAATATTCTTTGGCCTTTGTTGTATTCATCCAAAGGATTAATGGGGTGAGTTCACTGGTGCAGAGGACCATTGCAAGACTTCGCCTGAATAAGATTTTCAGTGGTGTCTTTGTGAAAGTAACCCCTAAAACCATAAAAACGCTTTGTAGAGTGGAACCTTATATGACCTGGGGATTTACAAATCTGAAGTCTGTTTGGGAACTCATCTTGAAACGTGGACAAGCCAAGGTCAAGAACAAAACCATCCCACAGACGACACAGTGATTGAGGAGCACCTGGGGAAGTTTGGTTTCGTTTGCTTTGGGAGACCTCATTCATGAAGTTGCCTTCCTGAGGAAGAATTTTCAGTCGATCTCAGGGGTTTTGTGCCCTTTCCAACTCCCAGTGGCCCACCAGGCTACCAAGAATAGAGTGGGTTTCCTCAAGGAGGTGGGCTCACCTGACTATCGAGGAGAAAGCATCAGTCAGGTCATCCGGCAGCTGAACTAAACCCAGAATATTTGAAAGCACAGTGCATTTGGAAGCATGTGTTTTTGTTTTATGGAATTGTTACCCAGTATCTTCAAAAAAGATTATTTTCTACTATATCTTCAGAAACTGGAGGGGAAGTGTCAGGGAAAAGATGGTGATAGTTATGGCAGGCACTTTTCATCCCACGCCAGGTCCAAGGAAACATTCCTATGTATTTTCGGTGTTGGTCACCATCCACCTCTGAAACCAGCAAAAGACTCATGCCATGGAGGAGGGATGCTTTGTCACATCTTCTATCCTGGGGTTTAATGTTGGTGAATGAATACCCAAGCATGAATACAGGACAGCAGTGGACCAACCCCAGGGACGTACTTGAGCCTAGGGGTTCCTAGGGCCTTGTTTTAGAAAGAATTGTAAGTACAATTAGAGAGAAGAGCACAAAAGCAGTGCTCGGTTGTCTCTGCTGTGAGTCCATGTTCTAACTTCAGTGACAGCGTTGTGAGCTCTCAGACTTACACAGAGCTCTAAGTGTATATGATGGCTTCCTTATCCTTGCCTGCAGCTGGCTTAATGCTTTTCTTTAGCTCAGGATTTTAACCTGTTCTTGGATCTATGAGAAGGGAAGGACACTTTCCCCAGGAAAACATGCAGAAACTCCAATTCTGTCTTGGAAGTTTAGAGTATTTGTAGACCCTACTCAGGGACCCATGCACCTTATGTGAAGAAGTCCCGCACTATCAGGATTGGTCACCCAGGCTCTGACCTTCCTAGTCTCTTCTGGTTCCATGTCCTATGGAAGACCAGAGCTTACCAAGGTAGGTTTTTCCCTTCAAGCCAAATGAGTGTTTCCTTTTAAGAACACGGTGGTAGATTACTGAGTCCCTGTGCCATCTATGACTCAGGGAAATGCCCACCATTTAGTTCTTCCGGGCTTCAGGATGGAATTCTCTGGTTTCCCTGATGATCAGTCCTCTCCTTAAACCCAAATCAGGAAAGAGTGAACCATTTTCTTGGTTTGGCATGGATGAAATTAGCAATATTTGGTCTTTTAGGCTGTAGGCAAGCAGCTTAATTGGACCCTTTCCTTATATATTCTAGACTCCAGAAGTATTGCCCTCTACCCTGCAAGTGATAATGTAGACCAACACTCCTGGAGGTGTTAGACCTAAAAAGAGGGTCTGACCCTGCTTGTGTTTGTCATCAGTGTCCACCCCTAAATGGGCCTTCCCTCTGCTCCTGTCACTCACTTAGTTGCCTCAACTTGCCATCTAAGCAGTTGGTGAGGGTGTGCCAGGCCCAGCTTAAGAGCTGAAAACGTGCTTAACTATTGTGTCCCCTGGTCCTTTAAGATCAGCTCTGCTGGGGCTTCCCTGGTGGCGCAGTGGTTGAGAGTCCGCCTGCCGATGCAAGGGACACGGGTTCGTGCCCCGGTCCGCGAGGATCCCACGTGCCGCGGGGCTGCTGGGCCCGTGAGCCATGGCCGCTGCGCCTGCGCGTCCGGAGCCTGTGCTCGGCAATGGGAGAGGCCGCAGCGGTGAGAGGCCCGCGTACCGCAAAAAACAGAAAAAAAAAAAAGACCAGCTTTGCTGCAGTTTTGGTTCATGGGGCGCTCAAACATGTTACTGAGCCCAAGCTCATACTACTCGCCGCCCAACAGGCTAATAAATGGAGAGACGAGTTGTTGGGACAAGGAATAGACAATTTATTCAGAAAGCCAGAAAACTGAGAAGATGGCGGGCTCGTGCCCCAAAGAACCATCTTGCCTGAGTTAGAATTCAGGCTTTTTTTTTTTTTTTTTTTTCCTCTCCAGGCTTCTTTTATACTGAAAGGGGAGGGCGTAAAGTCAAACACTTCCTGGTTCCCGTCAGCCTCTGGAGGGGATGTGTTATTCGTTCACAGGTGAGCCTGGCCAGCTAAACAAAGGTATTTTAGCTTAATGCTCATTACCTGGGAGGCAGGGTTGCCAGAGATTGGCCGTTATGTATAATTTAAGCTTATAGGCAACATCCCTTTACTGATTAACTTGTAATAGAATACAAAATGTTCTTCCCTATTACGAACATAGCTGTGAGATTGAATTGGAGGTATTAACAGTGCCTTAAAATGTGCCAGATTATGAAGTAATTAAGTTGCTTGGCTCAGGAGTTAACCTGCCAGGATTAGATGTTACAGATGTCACTCTGATACTGTGAAACATTGTAAAATCAGATGACTTTAAAATGATGTGTCAAAAAGTAATGCGAAAAGAGCAGCTGTGAGTGTGGAAGCCCAGGGTTTATATCCTGGATCTGTCTTATACTAAATATGGAATGTTTCCAGTCTTGCCTGTAAAATGGGGCTAATATAGTCAAGCCTGTCTGCCTCACATGGTTAAGAGTAGTAAGGAAAATTACAGTTTTTTTAACTTAGAATTCTATATAAATAAAGGAGGTTATAAAAATTATTACTAAAAGTATGGTGAGAAAATTTAGATATCTACTTAAAGTTTTTCAAACTTATGTTGAGTGTACATATTCAAAAGAGCTTGAGTATTACTGACTTAAGGAGAGTAATTAGGCTGCAAGACAAAACAGTCCAGTGCAAGGAGGCAGGGCTCTGAGTTGTGGAACCTGACCTGAAAGAAGTGCCTGCCCCTCTGTGAACCTGTTTCCTCAAATGGACAATAAGGAGATTGGATATGATTCTGCTGCTCCTTGTTTCTTGAGTCACTAACTGGGTGGGTCAGGCCATTTGGAATGTAACATCTCTACCAATAATAACACCATTAGCAGCAATAATAAAACCCTCTACAATTTTTTGAACGATTAATGTGCACTTACATGCATCATCTCTATAACCAAGTGTCTGCCTCTCTCACACAGGGTAATTCATGCTATTCATTCTTTTATCAGTCACCAGCGTCTACCCTATGCCTCACCCTGTTCAGGGCAATGCCAGAAAAGGGAAGAAAAGAGATGTGTCTTCTGCCCAAAGAATCTCAAAGACAGAATAGCCAGATCCATAGACAACCAACTTTAATAAAGGACCAGACAGAAGCACCAAATACAAGTGCACTCAGCCGTGCTGTTTAGAGCTGGAAATGGGGAGCAATTAGTTCTGATCAGGGGATTGAGGTATTTTGTACTGGAGTTAGGCCTTGAAAAAAAAAGAAAAAGAAAAATTTGACGAGTGTAGAGCATTCCCCAGACAGGAGGAGCTCTATGTGCAGAAGCACAGAGGCAAGAAAACACAAGTCTCCTGGGAGAAAGGTATGTTGGGTGGAGCACCGGAAACAAGGGGTGTGGCAGGAAAGGAAGAGCCAGTAATCAGGGAACCCTTTGTGAAGGGCCTTGTGTGCCAGGCTAGAGTTGGGAGGGGTGCTGACCAGGAAAGGGAGATGAGCAGTTGTGCATTTTAGAGGAAGCCCACGCAGCCACTCTGCCAGCGTAAGAGTATCCGAGCCTGGCAAGGCAAGGCGAGAGCTGTGCTTCTCAGGTGGTGGAATGAGTGCCTGAATGTCAGCACCATTTGCGGCTGAGTCATCAGTGGGGACGGGAAGCAAAGGCTTCAGTCTGTTCATAGCAATGCTGTTTCTCTTCTGAGGCCAGTCAGTTTAGCACACCTCAGGCTACAAACCATGCCTTGATTCTTATATCCAATCCAAGAGAAAATGGGAAGCCACACAAAGTTAAGTTTTGGGCCATAGTCCTACTAGAAAAGGAGAGAGCTCCAAAAAACCTATTAAAAATATTTCAGGAATTTGAATTTGAAAACTACTTTGGGAATTTGCTAAATTTCCTAATTTCGATAATTAAATTATGGTTGTATAAGAGAATGTTCTTGTTCATAGGAAAATATGACAGTGGGGGAGAGGAGGAGGAGGAGGAGGAGGAGGCGGAGGATGATGATAGGACAAAATGTAGAATTAGTGAATCTGGGTAAGGAGTATGTGGGAATTCCTTGTTCTGTTCTATCCTTGCAACTTGCCAATAACTTTGAAATTATTTCAAAATTAAAAGTAACCCAAGGGCTTCCCTGGTGGCGCAGTGGTTGAGAGTCCACCTGCCGATGCAGGGGACACGGGTTTGTGCCCCGGTCCGGGAAGATCCCACATGCCGCGGAGCGGCTGGGCCCGTGAGCCATGGCCGCTGAGCCTGCATGTCCGGAGCCTGTGCTCTGCAACGGGAGAGGCCACCACAGTGAGAGGCCCACGTACCACTAAAAAAAAAAAAAAAAAAAATGTAACCCAAAAATGTCAGGAATATGTTTCTTAATTCCATTTATCCCTTAGCACCTACCACAGGATCTTAACATTCTGTAAATAACAATGATTTATCTCTTGAGTTCCATTCTCTGCTAGGCACTACTAGGGGTTGTATACACGTTATTTCTAATCCTGCAGAGTAGGTATTCTTACTCCTATTTTACAAATGAGGAGACTGAAGTTCAAGAAGTTTAAGTATCTGATAAGAATAACAGCCAGGAATCCAAAGCCCAGGATTTTTCTGCTGTAATTCTCAGTTAATTTTTGTTTAATGAAATATGAGAGAAGTTTGAATAATTTAAGGCACCATACAAATATAAGAGACTTTATGAATTACCGAGAATTATGATGAACACTCTGATCTAAAGAATACCCTCATCAATAGGAAAAGGCTAAATGTCAGTGGACTACTGTGCAACCAACTTTTCAAAAGAATTAGGTAATATACTGCCATTAGGGTTGCCAAAGAAAATGGCAGTATGCTGGGACATATTTACACTAAGAAAATTATCCATTATCCAAAATTCAAATTCAACTGAACATCTTGCATTTTTATTTGCTATATTTGGCAACCCTAAATGCCATGAAACGATGTCTGTTTTCTAAGTGAACAAAATAAGCTACTGATATAAACAAAAACACAGCCCCATTTTTGTTTAGAAAAATGTGTAAGTACAGGAAAATGTCTGGGAGGATATACTTTATAGTGTTAACATTCTCTCTAGAAAATGGAATTAGGATAAGGTATGGAAAGAAGATTTAGTGTTTACTTTCTATACTCTATTTTGTGTATTTTTAGTTGAAATCTTCATTGAGAAAATTATAGATTTGTATGCAGTAGTAAGAAATAATGCAGAGAGTTCTGTTGTATGCTTTGCTCAGTTTCTCTCTAAATTGGAAAAAAAAAACAAAACTCTTTTTTCTGTGCTACTACTCACACTGAACACTTCTGACACCAGTTGGGTGTCTACAGTTCAATTCAATTCTGACACTATCTACCTGAAATTGGCATTAGACCCCAATTGTTAAGAGCTTAGTCCCACAAAACTGCTCCCACTTCAGATGCCAATCTGGAATCAGGCTTCCTGTACTTCTGACCAAGCAGTTATAAATCATGGGTTCTCATGACCCCCTTCTTGAGTTCAATAACCTGCTAGAGCAGCTCACAAAATTCAGAAAAATTAGTTTATTTACTACATTACTGATTTATTATTAAAGGATACAACTCAGGAAGAGCCAAATGGAAGAGATGCATAGGGCAAGATGTATGGGAAGGGGCGCAGAGCTTCCATGCCTCTCCAGGACCGTCACCCTCCCAGCACCTTGATGTATTTAGTACCCTCTCCAAAAGCTTCAGTTAGGGTTTTTTACAGAGGCTTCACTATGTAGGCATGATTGATTAAAACTTCCAACCCTTGGGACCTCCCTGTGGTTAAGACTCCATGCTCCCAATGCAGGGGGCCCAGGTTCGATACCTGGTCCGGAACCAGATCCTGCACACCACAACTAAAAGATCCCGCACACTGCAACTAAAGATCCCGCATGCTGCAACTAAGATCTGACACAGCCAAATAAATAATAAAATAAATAAATAAATATTTTTTTACATTCCAACCCTCTAATCACATGGTTGACTTTCCAAGCAAAAACCAGTCCCCCATCCTTAGGAGCTTTCCAGGATCCTCCAGCCACTAGTCATCTCATTAACAACAAAAACACACTTACTACTTCAGAGATTACAAGGGTTTTAGAGCTGTGTGCCAGGAAAGGGGGAGTGGGGAGGGCAGACACAAAATATGTATTTCTTATTATGTCACACACCACCAGTGGTGACATTTTGCAAAACAAATTCATCCAAGCTGTTGCATGCATCAATGGTGCATTCCTTTTTATTGCCAAGTAGCACTTCGTGGTTGGATGTACCACAGTTTATTTAACCATTCACCTGTCAAAAGCCATCTGGGATGATCACAGTTTGAAGCTATTACAAACAAAGCTGCTATGAGCATTTGTGTGCGGGTTATTGCATGCATTTTTAAACTAATTTTTAGATCTAAAAATAATAGATTATATAAAAATGTTATAACACCAATCTGACAAAAATAAATAAATTGCAAAGCAAACAACAAACTGGGAAAGATTTATAATGTATACATAGACAGAATAAACTGGTAGCTGAGATGGCCTCTGGGGAACTGGTTGACCAAAGGAAAGGGAAGGAAAGGCTTCTCACCACTTTGGCTTTATACATTTTGAATTTTATACTAGGCTTGTCTATTACCCTTTCAAAACTGAATTGTTTTTCAAAGTAATACCTGCAGTTTAAACATAAATTGCAACAGGTATGATTACTTACAATTAAAAAAAATCTTTTAATGAATGACCTTCTGGATGGAAAGAAAAAAAAAAAGAAATCTGTATGTGGACAGTGGTTTCAGAGCTAGATAATCCTCTCCAAATGGCCTTCACTCCCAGAACCTGGGAACCTGGGCAGGAAGTGTTGCTCTGATTGGAAATAACAGAATTTATGAAAATCACCAAAATTTAGAAACCTGGCCCACCCAAAGAGCAAGATTGTGTGTTGCCCATGAAATAAAGATGTTTCCCTCAAATCTTTACCAGGAGAACAAAAACCAGCCAAGTAAAAGGGTCACAATTATCAGAGAAACACTAATCCAGG